GTGTCATTTGACACTTTTTGAGTGAAATAGTGTCATTAGGCCGAACCTTGGGTGGGAAAAAGTCATTTACTCTTACTATGGACATGATCTATGCACTCAAGCTAGCTATATTTGAAACTCAACACTTCCAACCCATTAGCCACAAGTACATTTTCTCTTCGTTTTCCGTAAACTTTTGCTTTTAAGTAGAAAAAAGTTGTAGAGCTACAAGGTTGCAATTCTAAATTTAATACAACATTAGATTATGTTTACACAATTTGTATGCATATCGTGCTAATGTTGTGTGGTTATCAAAAAATTGAATAATACCATACTTACAAAGTCTTATAAAGATATATGTATAAAGTGATGTGTCATACCATGATTGAGAGAGTGAAATTTGTAAAGTTAACTCATTAACTAAAGTCAAATTCACTCTCCCACTCATAATATGATGCATCACTTTGTACATATATCTTTGTATGAGGACTTTGTAAGTGTAGTATTATTCTAAAAAATTATATTATCTAATACCTTGTATAAGTTGTATTATGATCAATTTAAGGCTATGAATTTGATTTCATTACAAAAATAGGCTGAATATGGCTTGAAATCAATTAGTCATTAAAAAGGCATAAAAATCTCAAGGCTTTATTGCCTTGCTAATTTTCTCAATATCATATACTTTTTTTTTTTTTTTTTTTTTTTGGGAGCCTTATGATATTTATTGACCATTGAAATATTTAACTTAATGAAAAACCTCAAGCACTGGTCTTTTTGCCTTTGACTATTTAATTAGCCGAAGTCCATTAAAGAATGAAAAAATTACAGTTTATTATATACAGTCATCAAGTGGGCAACAATTTTCTCCAAAACAAACTTGTACAAGTCAAATACTATTGGGCATATACCCAACGACAAATAAAATGAATGTCATAAACTTAACCACCACTATGTGACTTGATGGTAAAAGAGTAAAGGAAGATCTAATATGACTTCTCAAGTTCGAGTCCCCTTGATGGTAAAAGAGTAAGAGATTGATCTAACATGTTCTGTTAAGAGGAGTATCTAACATGGTCTCCCAAGTTCGAGTCCTCTTGAGGGTAAAAAAGCAGGAGGAGGATCTAACATGATCTCCCGAGTTCGAGTCCTTACGATTGCTAATAGGGGTGGCTATTGGAGCTCATACTCAGCTGGTAGTTCCAGGGTCCCGAGAGATTAGTTGTTATTGGAATAATGATTGTGATCAGTTCTTAATATTGTTTAAATTGTTTTACTTCAGTTTTATTAAGTTAGTTTAAATAGTCTAAGCAATTGTCTGTACAGTTGAGGTTGTCGTTAAGTAATTAGGATATAGTTGTACTAACTCTAATTAAATATAATACCATAGTCAAGTCTTCTTTTAGTAAACTCTAGTTGAAGATTAGTTTAGATATAAAAGAGTCAATGTTGTAAAGTGGACATTAGACTTGGATGATGAGTTAACGAAGAAAGTTGTTCTCTATAGAGTTTCTTCTTTTTTTGTTTATTACTTCCTTCTCTGTTTGTTACATGGTACCAGAGCTGGTTCGAATGTATTCACCAGTCGAACAAATTGGAAATTAAATCTCATCATTTGCGTTGATTAAGATCAAATCTATTCTTCTTCAAATCACAATTTTCTTCCTCTGTCTAAATTTGTCAGTTTGAAGTTGCTTGTAAGTAATGGAAAACATCAATGGAGATTCGGTACTCACTTCGATAGATTCGAACTCACTACTGTATATTCATCCTTCAGATACACCTGGTTTAGTGTTAGCTTCAGAACAATTGGTTGGTATTGAAAACTATAGGATCTAGAGCCAAGCCATGATAGTCTCATTGTGAGCAAAAAACAAGTTAGGGTTCGTTGATGGAACTTGTGATAAATCAGGCTTTAATTATTTTCTACATCGCAATGGGAGAGGTGTAATTCTTTGGTCTTGGCCTGGATTTTCAACACAGTTTTGAAGGAGATTTTTAATGGTATTGTGTACTCGACAATTGCTTCTCAAGTGTGGCAAGACTTACAGGAGCAGTATAATAAAGTGAATGGAACGAGAGTTTATGCTATTCATAGGGAAATTGCGAATCTGGTTCAAGGTACAAACATAATAGCAGTCTATTATAATAAACTCAAATCGTTATGGGATGAACTGAGTTCTTTAGTCAGCTTACCACCTCTAGATAATGTCTCTGCAAAAGCCTATCTTGATCATCTTAATCAACAAAAGCTGCTACAGTTTCTGATGGGGCTAAATGATTCTTATTCTATGGTACGAAGCCAGATACTTCTTATGTCTCCATTACCTTTTGTGAAACAAGCTTACTCGGTGGTGAATCTAGACAAAAGTCAAAAGGTTTCGTCTGAAATCAATAATAATTCAGAGGTCTCGACTGCTTTATATGTATAAAATAATCAAAGAGGTCAAAATCAGAACTCAAAATATAAGGGAAAGGAACCGTATATTGAGTGTGAACATTGTCACTTGTCTGGACATAAGAAGGAAACTTGCTACAAGCTACATGGGTATCCAACATATTTTCAGTTTACAAAAGGAAAACCTAGAACAAAGGCTAAAGCAAATCAAGCATAGTCTACAAATTTGACCTCAGAAAATGTACAATCTGGCACAAATCTTGGGAATGTTTTATTAGTAGAATAGTATAGTCAACTTCTGTAGTTGCTTGGAAAGGAAAATGTGGCAACTTCAGCAGCTAATCTGGCTGGTAATTTCACTTCTTTATATTCCTATCATATTGCAAATAGTTGGATCTTAGATTCTGAAGCCACTGATAATATGATGCATGATTTCTTTAGTCTTGAATCTCCTATTGAAATTGCATCATCCTCAAATACACTAGTTAGACTTCCCAAAGGTACAAAGAACAATATCAAACACACTGGTTCTATTAAATTGGATAATGACATTTGTCTAGACAATGTTTTCATCTACCAGAATTTAAGTACAACCTTTTGTCAATATCTAAATTGATTGCTATTATAATGTTCTATCACATTTTATCCTGATTTCTGCTTAATTCAAGATCTTTGGAGTGGCAAGTTGAAGGGAATTTGTAAACATGACCAAAGATTGTACTATTTTGTACCTATTTAGAAAATAAACTCAAATGTAATAGGTGTAGGAACAAAGAATAAAGTTGTTGGTAGTGCATCTTTTTTCAATCATGTTGTAACTCTTGATTCAGAAATGAATAAAAATTGTCTTTCTTTGTCTTCTTCAGCATCCTGTTTGAATGTTACTTAAGAAATTTGGCATAAAAGGCTAGGTCATGCCCATTATCATGTTTTAAAAATGTTACATAATGATTTGTCCACATCAAATCCACCTCATTGTTTAGTTTGCCCTTTAGCTAAATAGACCATAATACCATTTCCTTTGAGCACTTGATCTCTTACATATGGATGTCAAGGGTCCATATAAAGTACCAACTCATGGAAATGCTGGATACTTTCTCACCATTGTAGATGATTATTCTAGGATTATTTGGCTGTTTCTCATTCAATTCAAATCAGATGTTTTTCAAACACTTAGAGAATTCTTGCTTATGGTTCAGAATCAATTTAAACAAACTCCTAAATGCATAAGAGCAGACAATGGTTTAGAGTTTTTTAATAAACATTGTCATGATTTCTTACAATGTAATACATGTGCCTATTCACCTCAACAAAATGGCATAATTGAGAGAGTACATAGGCATATCCTAAAGATAGCTAGAGCATTGAAATTTCAGTCTAACATCCCAAATAGTTTTTGGGGATACTGTGTCAAAATTGCCGTTTACATCATTAACAGATTGCTAACAAAAGTTCTTAAAGGATTGTCACCATATAAAAAGTTTTTTGGCGAGAAACCTAAACTTGATCATTTGAAAGTATTTGGTTCTTTGGCTTATGCTATTGTCCCATCCCCTAAAGACAAGCTCTCTCCAAGATCTAATCCATGTGTATTCATAGGATATTCTCCCTCATGAAAAGGATATTCTTTGTATGATTTAGCATCTCATTCTATGCATGTTACTAGGGATGTAGTTTTTCATGAAAATATTTTTCCTTTTACTTGGTCTCAATCATCTAAACCACTTTTCTTGTCTGAACCTTTCATGGAACTTGAATTTGTATCTTCATCCTCATTTCTTGATCCTGTTGCATCAATTAGAGAAATGTCTTCCATTCATAACACAGAACTAGTACCTATTTCTCCTTCACTTAGTTCACTATCTAGTCAACATTCTACTCATGTTAATAGTCCTCAACTTAGAAAATCTACAAGACCATCAAAACCCCCTATTTGGACATCTGATTTCATTTGTCCTACACTTTCACAACCTAAAATAGCCAATATTATTAGATATCCTTTTCAACATTCATTGTCTTATGCTCATCTATCTTAATCATACCAAGCCTGTCTATCCAAGTTTTCTTCCTTAACTGAACCAACAACTTTTAACAAGCTTCTAAAGATCCTAATTGGGTTGATGCTATGAAAAAATAGATTCAGGCTTTAAAGCTTAATGCCACATGGTCTTTGGTCCCTTTACCATCTGGTAAGATTCCTATTGGTTGCAAATGGGTTTATAAACTCAAATATAGAGCTGATGGTTCCTTGGAGAGATATAAGGTTAGATTAGTTGCCAAAGGATATACCCAACAAGCAGGGATAGATTATGATGAAACTTTTTCCCTTGTTGTGAAAATGGTGACTGTTAGGGTAATTTTAACCTTAGCTTCCATGTATAATTGGCCTTTATATCAAATGAATGTGGACAACGCTTTTTTGCAAGGTGATCTACATGGAGATATCTATATGATTGTCCAACAAGGTTTTCATAAGCAAGAAGATTAAAATTTAGTGTGCAAGTTATATAAATCTCTTTATAGGTTGAAACAAGCTTCTAGAGCTTGAAATCACAAGCTAACTACAATCCTTATCTCTAGTGGTTTTAAGCAATCTACATCTGATTACTCTCTTTTCATAAAAATGGTCAATTCAAAAGTTGTTATCTTGCTGGTTTATGTGGATGACATAGTCATCACAGGGAATGATGAGTCCTTAATCAACAATACGAAGACTTTACTTCATATTTATTTCAAGCTTAAAGACAAAGGATCTTTGAGATATTTTTTGGGCTTGGAAGTTGTTAGATTTGATAAAGGTATTAGCATTTGTCAGAGGAAATATGCACTAGAGTTAATAGCTAATTCTAGTTTGTCTGCCACTAAACCTGTTTTGATTCCTTTGGACCAAAATGTGAAGTTTACATATGAGACTTATGACAAGCTTATAAATAATGCTGATGATCCAGTTCTTTTTTATCCAACAATTTATCAAAGACTTATAGGTAAATTGTTGTATCTTTGTATGAACAGGCTTGATATTTGTTATTCAGTGAATCTGTTGAGTCAATTATGTAGCTTCCTAAACAATCTCAAATGCTGCTTTAAAAATTATTGAATATGTGAAGGCTACACCTGGTCTAGGATTGTTCTTTCCTTCTACCAATTCCATGCAATTATTGGCTTTTAGTGACTCAGATTGAGCATCTTGTCTTATGACTAGAAGGTCTATCACAAGATATTGTGTCTTTCATCTCTTATCTCTTAGAAATCTAAAAGATAGTCATTGTTTCCAGATCTTCTTTAGAAGTCGAATATAGGGTCATGGCTTCCACTGTTTGTGAAGTTGTTTGGATAACCCAGCTTTTATCTGATCTTGGGTTCAAGGATTTAGCACTTGTTTTTTTTATATTGTGATAATCAATTAGCTATTCAAATTGCTTCTAATCCTATGTTTCATGAAAGAAACAAACATATTGATATTGATTCTCACATAGTCAAGACCAAGCTCAAGGATGGTTTGATTAAAACTGCTCATATTTCTACTAATGAGCAACCGATTGATCTCTTTACTAAATCTCTGGGCAGCAAAGTTCATCATCATCTTCTACATAAGTTAGGAGTATTAGACATCTATCACCCTCCAACTTCAGGGGGAGTATTAGAATAATGATTGTAATCAGTTCTTAATATTGTTCAGATTGTTTTACTTCAATTTTATTAAGTTAGTTTAAATAACTTAAGCAATTGTATCTGTACAACTTAGGCAGTTGTTAAGTAGTTGGGATATAGCTGTACTAACTAGGGGTGAAAATCGAGTCGAGTAGCTCGTGAACTACTTGAACTCAACTCGATGTTGGCTTGAACTCGACTTGACATTAGTCAAGTCGAGTTTGAGTTCAAGTAGTTAATCAAGTAGAGTTCGATCACAGTGGAACTCGACTTGATATGTTTGAGAGTATTTCCAAGCTCGATGGTTAAATTGATAGTTTTTAAAGTATTATGGGTCATATGTAATTTAAAAGTTATAAAACTTGCAAATCCACCCTCGTTGAAATAATGTAAAACACGATTTGTATACAAGAAATTAAAATCCCTAAATCATTTTTATCTTTTTCTCTCCTTCTTCGCAAATCGTTGTTGTCGTTTTCTTCCCTCTCCTTCGATGTCACCGGTCGACGTCTTGCTTTATCTCCTTTTTGCCTCTCAGACTCTCAAGTACTGTGAAACTGAAATCCCTAGTGAAACTGGAGTCCACTTTTAGTCAAATTTTGTTGGTTGGGGGTTTTTGGAATGTTATTAGTGGGGTTTCTGGGTTTTGGAATTTTAATCACTGTGGTTTCTGAGTTTCTGTGTTATGTATAAACTGATGCATCAATGGGGTTTATGTGTTTTATTTGATTGATTTTATTGAAGACTTAGTTCCATGGTTTTAGGGGATAAACATTCCAATATTGGATTCACCTTGAAAAGGAAAAAGCTTGGTCGTGTTCTTCTTGTGTTTGATTATGTGACACAATTAGAACAAATGGAATGTTTAATGGAAGATTTTAGCCACTTGGACTCAGATAGTCGAATAATCATAACGTTACATTCGGGGTGTAGTTTGCTGGGATTTCGAGTTAAGGATAGTGTTTTGCTAAATGATTGTTTCAACTGAATGCATTGAGAAGTGTTGGGTGTGATTTGTTGCTAGAATTTCTTATTTAAGCATGATGCATTGAGAAGTGTTGGGTACATTGAGAAGCTACTAAACAATGTTGTTTGCATGAGTGGAAATGATGGTGATTTGTGTATTGGAAATGGTGTTTGCATGAGTGCAGATAGTTAGGTTGTTGAGAGAAAGATTAGTTTGATGGAAAAAGCATGAAATGTTTTCAATTTTGTTTTTTTTTGTTTTGGAAGTTCCTGTGCATCATTCATATTAGCCTTACTATATTTTTGGTTGTCTTATGTTTATAAAGAATGAAAATAGGCATTTAACAAGACTTGAATCTTCTATTTTCTCTAAACATTCATAATGTAATGTGTTATATGTTGTGAGAAGTGTATGTATATGGCTATGTCTTATAGAAGCAACGATGGAAGTAGTGCTTAAAAGAGGTGAAGTTGGTCATATAAATAGGAATTAGGTGTGGTTGGACATTACATTTGTAGATGCTGGGAAGTTTTACTTAAAAATGAAACATGTCATATTATTAGATTATATTGACCTTTTGTAGTTCTCAAGAAAAGACATTTTTATCATGCTTTTATGTAGCGATAATTTATCATCTGTTGTGCTCTTGTGCTTGTGTTCCTAATTGTCAATTAGTATATCGTATTTAATAGTGTTTTAATTCTTTAATTATAGGTATGGATTCAACTGGTAGTCGTCCCACAGTTAATACGAATGTAAGTGAAACTGACACTACAGCTAGTAGCCCCCCGAACAATGAAAATGAAGGTAATCCAATCCACAGAAAGAAAAGAGGTAAGACATCTGTGGTCTGGTCAGGTTTTACGGTGGTGGTGCTACCCACTGGTACGAAAAAGGCAGAATGCAACTATTGTAAGACCAGACTCACCATTAATGCATCCCGAAGCACTACTGCTTTTTTGAGACATTTGAAAGTGTGTGAATCACGAGTTGTTTCCTAGAGGCAACAACAACAAATTAACTTTCCGCCCTCATATTCTAGTATTGGGGAAAGTGAGATCTCTGCTCTAATAGGTGGTAACTTTGATATGACAGTTATGAGGGAGCTTATTTTGCATTGGGTTCTTATCCATGAGCACCCATTTACCATTGTGGAGAAGGAGGTTTAACAATGTGCTTAAGTATGCGGTGCCATCTTGGGAAAAGATATCGTGCATTACTACTAGAAGTGATTGTGTGAAGGTGTATGAAATGGAAAAAAAAAAGAAGTTGAAGAATCTATTAAGGAGTGTTGATAAAATTAGTTTGATGACTGAATTTTGGAATTCGGGTAATCAAAAGATTGAATACATGGTTGTGACGGGGCATTGGATAGATACTAATTGGAGGTTGAACAAGCGTGTGCTCAGCTTTGGGATTCAGATTGCTAATTGTATGTTTAAGTGTTTGAGGGAATGGGGAATTGAAAACAAGGTCTTCACGGTCTCAGTTGATAAAGCCTCAAGTAATGATCTAGCAATTAGGGTTATGAAGGATAATTTTTCAGTATCTAGGAAGCTCCCTTGTGAAGGTAATTTTTTTTAGCATAAATTTTAACTCCTTTTGTTGAATAAAATCAATTTTCACTATAGTGTTATAGCTAATATTTCATTACTCTTTTTTTTTTTTTTTTTTTTTTTTTTTTTCATTTCTTGATTGTAGGTAAATTGTTTCATGTTCAGTGTTGTGCTCACACACTAAATATAATGGTGCAAGATGATCTTACTCAGATTAGGCACATCATTCATGACATTCGTGATAGTGTGTCATACATCAATCAATCGAAGAGCAGACTTACTTTCAGAGATTGTGCATCACATGCAGTTGCCGTACTGGAAGCTAATCCTTGATTGTAAAACAAGATGGAACTCATCTTATGATATGTTGACAATTGCACTGAAGTTTAGATTGGTGTTTTCCCATTACGTTGAGAGAGATCTGCATTATCATTCTTGTCCCACAACAGAAGACCGGGACAAAGTAGAGAAAGTATGTGAGATTCTTCAAGTTTTTAGTGTTGCGACTAATATAATATCTAGGAGTGACTATCCAACATCAAATAAATTTCTGGTCAATATTTGTAGGTTGAAAATATTGTTGGATAAACATGCAAATGATGAAAATGAGTTTGTTCGGAATATGGTGAGGAAGATGAAAGACAAGTTTGATAAGTAATGGGGAGAGTGTAATTTGTTGATGGCTATTACTACTGTCTTAGACCCTAGGTGCAAAATGAGAGTGATTGAAGGTGCTTTCCCCAAGATTTTTGGTGAGTTAGAATCACAGTTCAATGTTACAAAAGTTCGGGAGGCGTTGTATGAGTTGTATGGGGAATATGTGGCTGATAAGCAATCTTCAACCAACAACCGTAGTGTTGTCAATGAAGGGATTAGTAGTGGGTTGTCTGAGGCTTCTAACTCTTCTGGTTGGTCAGTATTATTGAGTTATGTAGATGCAAATGAAAAGTTTGCATCTGAAAAATCTAATTTAGATTGTTATCTAGACGAATCATGTTACAAGTTTCAAGGGGATATGATTCTTTTAGTGCTTTAGATTGGTGGAAAGCGAACAGTTTAACATATCCTATGTTATCTATGATGGCCTGTGATATATTAGCCATTCATATCACCACGGTGGCTTCAGAGTCTACTTTTAGTGTTAGGAGTAGAGTTATTGACACATATTGAGTTTCATTGTCTCCGGAAATAGTTCAAGTGCTACTATGTGGGGGTGATTGGTGTCGCTATCGAAACAGATTGAAGAAAGGGAGCAAAGTAAGTTCAATTCAATAAAATTATAAATAGTTTCTAGCTCCTTTATTTAGAATTGTCTTTTATTGTACTCTATGTTAAACATTTTTATTTTTTCCTACATGTATTTTAGAGTGAGATATAGTAGATGGAGATTACGCTTCTTGTCCCTTCACCTGAACGTAATTAGGATATGGATTGACAACTTATGATATATGGTATCATCAACTTATGATCCTCCAATATTTTGTTTCTAGCTAGGATGTGTGGTTTTGTTCTTGGACATTGAGAGGCAGCAGCTAGCATATGAGATGAGATGAATGTTACGCAGCTTATGGCCTTATGGCCTTATGCTATTTCATGATATGCTACTTGATGATGAATGATATTAACTTATTATCACTCTTATATTTCTATTTATTATGTAATGGTTGTTTGAACTTTGATGTGAATTAGGTTGCAAATACACAGCAAATTGTAGTGGGGAAATCTGTCATCAAGCACTACTGTTTTTTTTCATTTTTTTAGATGAGCTCAAAATCGAGTTCAAACTCGAACTCAAATAAAACTCGATTATACAAACTCGAATTCGAACTCGATTTCCAATTTCAAGTACCGAGTTCGAGTTTGAACTTGATTTCTTAGGCTCGATGAGGCTCGAACTCGAACTCAGTACTATAGCGATAGAGTCGAGTTCAATTTAGCAGATACTCGACTCGACTCAACTCGATTACACCCCTAGTACTAACTCTAGTTAAATATAAAATCATAGTTAAGTCTTCTTTTATTAAACTCTAGTTGAAGATTAGTTTAGACTTTAGATATAAAAGAGTCAATGTTGTAAAGTGGACATTAGACTTGAATGATGAGTTAACAAAGAAAGTTGTTCTCCAGAAAGTTTCTTCTTTCTCTATTTATTACTTCATTCTCTGCTTGTTATAGTTAAGGTGCACGTAAGTTGGTCGGACAGTTCGGTCATTAAAAAAAAAAAAAAAAAGATTTAACTTAATGCAGTCAGAACCACAATTGTTTGCATGATGTCGTAATGTAACAATTTATATAAATAGAATCGTGATTGTTTATACAGTAGATGGGTGCAACCATTTAAAATTTTAGAATGTTTTAAGATGTTCACTCTATACTTTTATTTTGAGGACAGATTTCATATTAATATATTTATTATACAGACATAAAGCATATTTTATATCTAGAACCCTAAACAAAAATCCTGAATCTCCTACTAGAAGGCATGCCTTTCAGGTTTTAAATATTAACAAGACCTTTAGGAATTAGGAGTGTTGTCCCATAACAAGTTAATGACATTACTTTTATTTGCAGCTGGGTATATGCCCAACAGTATTTGACTTGTACAACTTTGTTTTGGAGAAAATTGGCGCCCCCTTAATGATTGTATTTGTTAAACTGTAATTTTTTCATTCTTATGAGGGACTTCGGCTAATTAAACAGTCAAAGGCACAAGGACCTGTGCTTGAGGTTCTAATCTTCAATAGCTCTGCTATATAGCTTCTCTTACCTTTCCCTTTCAGGAAAAGAGCAACTTCTATTTACAAATTTAGGTCTCAAATCAAACTGATTGCAAATCAACAATTTCTATTAGGAATTTGACAGAAGGCCCTTGACCAGAAAAGGACCAAAATGAACAAACTGAAAATGTTCTTACATTAATTGAATGCTTGGCTTTTTCTATAACATAAACCTTGTACAATTTAGAGTGACATTTCGTGTTATAAATGTGACATTCTAATGATAGAAAAAAAATCATTATATATTGTTACCAGATGTGTTCCGTATCATGACTCATTTTGAAGAAAATTCATTCAACCCCACGATATGTTCCCTTTGAGAAATCTCACATTCTCTTTCTCTCTTTAAGCTCTACTTTATCTAAGTGTTTACATAATAGTCACACTGCCTAATTCTGTAAAACCTTTTTCATTGCTCATCATTGAGGAGCCATTCTGATACAATTAGTCAATTACTGCATCTTTAACATGTACAAGGCTACAAGCTTATCAAGCCCCTTAACGCTCTAAATGAAAGAGAAATAGTTAAAAGTCCTTCTAGAGAAATAGTTAAAAGTCCTTCTAAACTGGATCAGAAATAGTTAATACTGAGATATTACAACACTGCACCATTCTTATAGCCCATTGCTGACTAGTGAATAATCATCTCAAACAAGCACACATTCAGAAACGCAGAATCAACAAATGTGCAGCCTCTCTGTGAGTTTTGAGATAAGAATCTTTGAACAGATGAAAACGAGTAGAGGCGAAATCTGCCTCCTTGAAAGCTGGCCAACACTGCATCCATCAGCACAAGCTTTTAAAGTAACTCAGCTCTGTAATGGGGGTTGGTTTTCGAAGGGCAGCTCAATTGGAGTTGCATTTCCATAAAATTCTTCTAAGTTGTAAAAAGCTCTCTGATCTGGAAGAAATATGTGGATAACGACATCACCTGAAATTAAGACAAAAGTCAACAGAACTCAGTTTTCTCAGCATACTGAAGCTAAATGTCTTAAAAAGGATCTTATAATTGTGCTTTTTGGGCATCCTGGTAGATGACCATAATTTTGTTCAATTTAGAAAGAATTGCACCAATTAAACTGAAAGATTTTTACAAGTTTAACCAGTGACAGCAAATGAATCTTGAGAAAACTAAAAAGGAGCCTAACTCACGTATCTCATGGAACTTGTCAATCAACCTTCCAGGATAAACAATAGAAATTAGAAAATATGTACAACTATAAAGCCATCCAGTCATTAAGGTGCCATGGAAAAATTTGAATTTCAGATTAAAACATTAAAAAGTAAAGCAATTATCATTGTGTATTGTATTATTTTGGTATGTTTATTGCATCTCCGAAACCCCTAGAGCTGACTAAAATCACACACCAAAATAATATATTCTTCCTTGCAGCCCACTTCATCTTGCTTGAATAAATTGATAGATAAGGAAGCACAAAATCAAAGTAGGTCATAATAGATGGGACTAATACATAATATCTTTCTTCACCAAGATCAAAATGGATAGCTAAGGTTCAAAAGTTACAGCGTCACAAGCACAGTGATTTTTCTATCAAACTCCACAACTATTGAGTTGCTGATAATCATGTAAGGACACTCACCAAAATCCAAAAGGGTCCACGAGTTGGGTTTTGAGTCCCCAGATGGGATCCTTCCATACTTCTTTTC